TGTCGTATTTATTTTTGCGAGCGATGCCGTCTAGTTGGATATGATACGCCGTGTGTGTCTCGATTTTGACGGGATCCGATCGGGCGGTAATCTCTGCACCGCCATCTCTGCTCCTTGCCTTGAACGCTACGGATTTCTGCAGCGGATTGAAGTGATTGGTCACTTTTACTTCATATTCATCAATCAATGAATTAAGTACTGTGATGAATTAAACTGTGTAACGGAATAGAAAAACTCGGAACGCGAGCATCAGGCCGAAACCACTTGAACTTCCTTCCCCCCCCCCCCCCAATTCCTGCTTGCCTGCCTGTCTGCAGCGGATTGAATTTCGCCCGAGAAGGGAGCTCTTTACCTATATGTCATGGTGCGAATCCCTCAATGTACATCTTATCTTTAATTACGATTTTTTTTGTCAATATAATATATTATATCCTCAATTACGATTTTTTTTGTCAGTATAATATAGTATAGAAACGAGGTCCTGCAATCTCGAAAACTGCCGACTGAAGATAGTGATATACAATTGGTACTTGACAATTATCTACGGCTAAATACTGTAATAAGCATAATCCTGTGCCATCATAGAAACATAATTTAATCGATTAAAATAAGGCAAAGCTTGTAGATAGGTTTTATATTCAATTAATGTTTCCGTACCTCTATGAAGAAAACCAATACGTGGTTCTGCACGTTCCACCACTTCTCCATTCATTTCCAAAACTTGTCTTAAAAGAATTACATGAGCAGCGGGGTGTTGAGGTCCAAAATTGAAAGTCAATTTTTTTGTTTGGTTGGTTTTATACATCGTGTACTCGCTTTTATGCATCTATTTCGCGAAAAGTTCATTGACGAGGTTGGATGATCAATTTCTCGGAAAGTGAATCCTTTTTTTTTTTTTTTTGAGCGAGAAAAACTTCATTCCATCAATAGAATTGAACACAGGGCTGGGGACCCCACAATCACCGGGAAAAAGGGATGCTGTACTGGGGCCAATACAATAGCCAGCTTAGGCTCCTGTAATGTCCAGTGTCACGGGAAAAAAGAAGCTGCATCGGTTTTCACAGACGTGAATTGTCGATTTCACTGAAGAAAGAAGCTCAATTTCGCAGACAAATGATTTATTTCTAAGTCACCATAATAATAACAAGTCCATAATTTATTTTTGAGCGAGAAGAACATCCAGAATAATCAATGAACTGTACAACTCCCGAATTCGCGTGAACGCGTAGCCAGTTTCTCTACAACCCTGAACCAACTTACTTTAAAAAAAAAATAAAACCGAACTGCTTACGTAAACAGACGGCCCTGCTAAAATTCCTTGTGACCTCACGTATCCATCCGACACATTTCCTAGCCTAATTGCCAGAAGCCTATGTGTTTCATAGCATCGAGCAGGGTACCATGTCATCCAACTTCCTCCTGCCGAGAATGAGGCTTCTTCCTAATCGATGCTACGAATTTTTCGGTGGATTCCGGATGTCCGAAACGTTTTGGCTGTTATCATTATGGACACCTCTTGACTGTAGATATACTCTATGATCTTCCGCCGCTGTACGTCATCAATCAACAATTCTGTTATACCTCCCCCGACGTGCCATTGTATAGGTATCACGGCAGAGGTATGGCACACACACACACACACACACACACACAGAGAGAGAGAGAGAGAGAGAGAGAGAGAGAGAGAGAGAGAGAGAGAGAGAGAGAGAGAGAGAGA